TTAACTTGATATATGCGCGTTGGTCGCCTAATGATTGCCGAATTTCTAATTATACGCATAAGAAATTATATCTGTCAATAAATTTGCCACTGTGGTGCGCCCAGCTGAAGGGCGTTCCAAAAAAAAAGGACGAAAAAGAAATCAGCAATGGCCATAACTCACTCACAGGACACACAAACACACACACACAGATACACAGGCAGAGATAGACACACAGGACTAGCGTAAATCCTTCCACAACTGACAGCGGAATGGCGCTCAGTGCTTATAAATGATGAGTCCAAGTCCGAGGCAGGCGCATAATGACCTAGGCTAGCAATCTGGGCGGTTCGGATGGGGGCGGGCCAGTGAGCTGCAAGCAGGAAATATTTGGTCGAATGACGCATAAAACAAATCCAAGCCGAAGGAGCCGCAGCTAAGGCTACAGCTAGGCTAACAGCTACAGGGGTTGTTGGCCCGAAAACTTGACGAACCTCGCTTGATGAGCGCAACGTGGGAGGCGGAGACTTTGACTTTGCTTTTGCTGTTGGCTTGTACTATCATCATCATTGTAGTATCATCATCGTTGTAGTCATCATCATCATCATCATCATCATCGTCAACATGAGGGGTCGGAGCTTAGACATACGATGTTCAAGTTTTATGAAACCCTCAAGTTGAAGACACTTTTTGGTCAGTGCAGAGTGGGGCGGGAGCTGCCCCGGCCACTGTTTGGTCTTTTAGTGGGAGGTTGGGATATTGTAGTGCGGGCCTGGTGGCTCATATATTTTCGCTCGTCTGACATTAACGGCTGCTATCGCCCGCACGACGAGCCGGGCTCAACTGGGCAAACGCCTTGGCAAGCAGAACGGCCAACCTCCACAGCCGGCTGGCTCGGATGGAGCGGCATCATTACTGGCAGTCCACGATTTATTGACAAACGGAGCACCGAGACCAGAATCGCCCAAAATTTAGAATCGACAAACGTCTTGGCTGCCAAAAAGGATTGCTCAACGACGACGACGACGACGACGACGAAGGCGACTACTATTCCGACTATGTCTGCCTGCCCCGGCTCCCCAATCTGGTTTGGGTGTGGCATCCACAGAGCAAATGCCATTTGTTTCTATGGCCCATTTCGTTGACGCTTTCGGTTAGCAGTCAAAGGCAAAAATGACGCTTGCTTCACTCGGCATCGGAATGCGTCAGCATTAATTTGCCCTTCGAGCAGGAGTGGGGCTAGTGGGAGTTATAGCCATGCCATAGGAGAATTACTATAATTGCTTATAGAGAGTGTTTAATTGAAAAACGTAGTTGACTATTGTGACTATATACATACATATGTATGTATATATGTGTCTTGCTATATATTTTCTAGAATTTTTACTTGAAACATAGCTCTACAGAAAGTCAGACTGTTGTCTGTATCATTAATTAAAAATTCATTTTAATATTAATATTTTTTTATCAATATATTTTTATAAATACTGTTATAGATTTATTTGTATTTTTATTTTTTAAGAATATTTAAAATTGAGATTTGATTTATTTGTTTGCTCATGATTATTTAGACTTATCCTTATGAAACAACTCTTTCCTCTGATGGGACAGATTAGTCTTCCTCAAAAAATGTTAGAATGAACGTCTCTTTTTGTTGTTTATGTCAACAGGAGTATACATTCTTATTTTAAAATATTCTGCATAATTCGGTGTAAATAATATATATAATAATTGTATAATATTTACATCCATCACTCTATCTCTACAATTGTAGATACTAATAAATATATTAACTACCTGAAGGCTCTTGTTACTCTGGCTCTAAACTAAATTGTTATTTAGAAGTAATTCCCTGCAACATTTAAATAAATTAAATTATTAAAATTAATAATATTAAACTCTTCTTTTATCATTCTCTATCACACAGGATATACTCTCTTCGTTATTCCAAAGAGAAGGCAGAACATAGATGCATTTCCACATATCTCTGTAGAAGAATAACAATTGATCATAAGTTCAGTTTGTGCAGTGCCCTCCATTCTTATGCTCCAGAAATCTCCACCTAGTTGCATTGTTCATTGATTAATCCACAAGAAATATGCCCAAAATTGGGAGAGCCCACTTGATGACCCAAATAGGAAGCATTCAGTGCTCTGGCACGGGCGAACAAAACAATTGGCCAAGAGCTCACACCAGGCTGTTTAAAACAATAAATAAATAACAGTCGACGTAGTTTCCTTGCAATTTGTGTGATATGTGGGTCTTAGCTCTGGTGTGGGTGAGTGGCGGCTGGTGGTGCTGCTGCGGTGGTGGTGGTGGTGGTGGTGCCAATTCCACATCCAGTGGCTGCTTCAGTTTGGCTAATGTGACTACCGCAAACTCAGGCAATTTCGTCTCCATCGTGTGCGCCTCCTGCCACCGTTGAGCCGATGATTCATATGCCGTTCGCCGTCTAAGCTGCCTCTAATGTCAGGCATTGCTGGCAAGCAACAGACCGAGTTGGATGGGCCCAGCATCCATTCATTTGGCTGAGAGCGCCTTCGGCATATTTTTAATTGCCTAATTTTGCGACTTGAGTGATGGGCAATGCTTGTGCCGAGGGTTGCTTCTGCTTCTGCTTCTGCTCCTGCTCCTTCTCCTGCTGCTGCTACTGCTGCTGCTACTCTTGGTTCCTTCAAATGTCGTCGTTCGTCGTGATAAACGCGCCGCCCGTTTGGCATTTTAAAATTGTCGCCAAAAAACAGGCAAAGCAAGCAGTCCCCCCCCAACCCCCGACCCGCCCGTATCCTGGCAAGTGGCTTCATTTGCTGCCGCTGAAATATTTCAGTGAAGGGCGGGCGCTTGGGTTGTCACCAGCGCTCGCGGCAAATTATGGGACAATATTTTAGGCTAATGTTAATGTTTTCCCAAAAATTTTCTCATTGTGCCAGGAACTGAGCTGAGGAACTCGCCCCCGCACACCATCAGGCCCTCAGGCCAAATCCGTTAAATTATTGAGCTGAAGGTACTTTTCAATGCGGTTCGCTTGGCTTGGGTTCGCTACCAACTGCCGTCGTCTCGGGTTGGGGTTAAATGAGCAGCGACACTTGCGAGCTACTATTGTTGTTGCTGTTACCATTGTTGCTGCTGCTGCTGTTGTTGTCGTTGTTGTTGTTGCAGCTCTCCAAGTTCGCCGGCTTTTGGTATTCTTTATTTGTTGCCAGCGCAATTTCCAGTCGCTCAGGTTCTGTTAAATGTTTCGGAAAGGCAAATGAATGAACGCGAAAAAGGCTTCGCGAATGAATTAATTTTTGAGTTGACACCATAGAGCAAAGAGAGAGTACGAGAGAGAGAGTCGGAAAGAGACGGAGAGAGAGAGTGAATAAAGCGTGAAAAAGCAACGAGCGAGTATATGACTGCAACTTCAGTAGGAAAATTGCAGGGAAAGAAGGACTATATTGTGTGAAAAAATGTTGTAGGCATGAGGAGAAATGATTTGATATTTATTAAAGATTTTTTATTGTGAAAACCAACTACTACTAATTTTAAAATAATATTCAAATAAATTTAACTTAATTAAAAACAAATATAGTTAAATAAAAAAATATATATTGCTGCTAGTGATGATAGTTTTTTCATAATCTTTTCAAAAAATATTTAAATTTAGAGCTATGAATACAAAATTAGTTTCCTTTATTATATATGTACATTATTTTTTTTTTTTTTTTTTTGGTTATAAAAAATTTAGCTCGACATTCTTTTAAACATTTTCATGATTTTTTATATATATTTAAAGATATGAAATAAGAATACTGAACAAATTTTTATAGAATAATAATTAAAAAATATTATAAAATATTTATAGTTACAGTTTTTAATTTGAAAAAAATTTTTTTTTTACTCTAAATCAGATTTAAATTATATTTTATATTTATATGATTATCCAAACAGAGTATCGACGTCAAATTCCCAGACTGGTTAGTCAATAAAATATATTCCTAATATTTACATAAATTATTAAATTTAATGTTTTCATGATAAAAAATTGATTGCTTATTTATTTAAAAAATATATGTATATTAAGACAAATGTTATCCTATATAAAGTTCTCCATTTAATCCCACTCAAGTACTCGAATGCTATTTGAAAGAAGTGCAGAAAACTTCGTTCTGGAGAACTGTTAAAGACGTTGCATTGAAATAATTGCAGGGCTTGCGAGGACGCAGCTATCAGTCTTGGGGCTGTGCAGCACACGTCGCTGGCAGATAAAGTTCCGCTGAAGGAAAACACCACAAAAACCTGAGACCCGAAAAGCCCTAAATCTTGCAGCTACCTACTGGTACTCCAGCTCGTCCAGTTCGTCCAGCCGTACAGTTCGTCCAGCCGTCCGGCCGTCCAGTCGTTCAGCCCTGTTGCCATTATTCTCACTCGCTGCGCGCTTGTCTCGACTACCATAAAACACTTTAATAGTTCTCCGTGCCACACACAGCCCCCGGTTGGAGTTCGCGGGGGAGGGGCCGGAGCCCTAACCCAACTCTCACTCTGACTGACGTTCTGCCAATGTCGGCTTCGATGCTTTCTTTTGCTCTGCTTCGACTTTTGCTGCGGGCTCGCGTTTTTCGGCGCGTTTTAAAATTATGGCAACGCTGTCACTTCAATGGCGCACAAACACCGCCCACTCCACCCAATGAGCCACCCAAATCCAGCCCAGCTGGGCTACCCACCTGCAGCCCGAGGCCGCTTTCCTCGAATGTTTTTGTTTTTTTGCGCTTCTTCTTCTTTTTCAAAGTTCTTTGGGCGCGTCTTTGGCGCTGCCTTCGCTTAATTTAGGGCCAGACACTTGCTCAACTTTTTTAATGATTTCTGCATAAGCCTTTGGGGACTAATTCATTGGAAGGCGCCATGCATATGCCTCGAGACGCAACAAATTAACCCCTTTCACCTGCAGGAAGCTGCCATCAACCCTTAACCCCAACACCCAGGCCCAACCCGACCCCGCCCCACCCCACTTTTTTTCGCATTAAGTCAAGTGCTTAACCGCTTCAACACTTTGATTTGATTTCGCGGGCTCTGCTATCGCTTTCCTGCTCTGCGCCGCGCTTTATCAATTGGCCCATTCCCGTTCCCCCGCCGTCTGTTGAGACCTGCGCGATGTTTGAGCATCAGCAGCAGCCCCAATCCCAATCCCAATCCCGCCTCAGCCACAACCTCATCTGCAGCCTCATCGACCTTGTCACATGACACCTGCAACCTTTTGCGCGTCGATTTCCGTTTCCGCCGCCAGTTTTTTGGCTTTTGCTCTTTTTGCTCGCACAACAATTTTTGATGCCTTTTGATCTTCGGCTGCGGCGGTTGGACTTGGCGTGTTTTTAAATTAAATCCTGAACAACGCCCGCCCCTGCTCGTCCTGTCGTCCCGGCTCAACGCAGGCCGCTGCCACTGTCAGCATAATACGACAAAAAATTCCACGCTATGTTTGATGTTTAACTTTATTAAAGGATTTCCCTGCGCTCGCTGTTAGAATCCAATTAAAATTAACCGCCGGCATTGTTTGTCAAAAATACACACGAGCCATCCAACAGCCATGCCATACGCATATTCTGCCAAAGAGAAAGTATTTTTAATATTCATATACAGAGATAATTATAAAAATTGTATTACTAACAATTATAGATCTTTATTTTCAGTCAATAGAGTTTCCCAATATTTCCCTGCATCCACATCGAATTGATCCCTGAAGGGCTACTGCATAAAGGAAGCAACTCTCTCCACAGTAGCCCAGGGGCTGAATGGGAACCGTGACGGGAACCGGGATCATTGTTTGCGCCGAGATTGCAACCTGAGTGATTTACGAGGGAAAGTCAAAGAGATCCTTATGCGTAAGGATGTCAGCTGAGATCCGCACAACTGAGCTAGCTTATCCCTTTGCCTCAACTGGCAGGCCAAAAGTGAAAGTGAACGTCAAATGCAGGCCATAAATCAGTGGCCCGTTCTGGTGCCGTCAATTGTTTACGGCCGTCGAATGCAGAATGCTGAATGCAAATGTGCAACTGTTGTGCCAACACACGTTTCACATGCCCATTTCCATTTCCATTTCCATTTCCACGGGCCACTCGACGCCGCAGGAGCTGAGCCGGGAAAATGTTGTGACACTGATGCAGTTGCCGGGAAAATCGCATTTGCCAACATTGCGTCGCCGTCTCTGACGGATTAGTGGGGATTACTCGACGACAACGAGCGCAGCGCACTCCGGGCCGACAACAATGACCGAAGCGGACCGAAGCGGACGAGACCAGAGCGGACCTGGTGAAAGTTGTGGCAGGTAGTTGGGCAAATCTTTTGTTAGGTGACTTTTGCGATTCTCGTGCCGTGACACACGCAGCGGGCTGGACAATTAATTTGCGCTGCCTTTGGCCAAGAGGCGTTTTGTTTTGCTTTCGTGTTTGTCAAAGATTTCTTGGCCAAGACTCTGGGCTGCCTTACGTGGAAAAGTGAAAGTGCCAAAGAACGATGCACAAGGTCAGCAAAAGTCGAAAGGCATTGGAATAAAATCAATAGCTCATTAGCTAAGCTAGGTAAGAGCGGATGACTTACCTTAAGCTGAATATTATCTCAGCTGACTGCAAGTATGTGTGAATGGAAATCCAAGTTAATGCAATCTTAGTATTTCGTCTCTTCTCTAATCCTAACTCCATTATTTCTCTATCTAGTCTTCTAGTTAAAAGTTGATAGCAAATGATCTTGAAATTGGATTACCTCAAGTACATATCTGAAGTGGCAGACGGAAATCTCCAACCAAGCCGAATTATATTTAATTGATTAAACAAGAGACTGTCAGTTTGCCTGAGGCCTTCGGGTGCTGCCAGGTGCTTTGCTGCTCGCCAGCTCTGCCAGTATCTGCCCATCAAAATTGCATCGAATGCACTCGACTTTGATCTGTTGTAAGAGGCGAACATCACAGGATGCCAGAAATGCATTGCTCAGTCAATTATCAAATTAATTAGCTAAGCTTATCTGGAAGCAATGGTTAATTGCAATTGCGAATCAGGTGCATCGGGTGAGATTCGATATCGCTGTTGGGGCTCCATCAAGCTGACAGCCAGACGAGACGGGCGACTAGCTGTGCTTTGCAATCTATAAGCGGGCATGATGGAGAGAAACTTCAGGCTTCAGTTTCTAGAGGCGAAGTCTGACAACTTGATCTGCTAATGAATGATTGATGTGTGCATCTGAGTGCGTATGTGTGTGTGTGTGCGAGTGCGTGTGCGTGTGCGATGCTCGCGAAGAGGATTGGCAATTTGCTGACCTTGCAATTTGCATTAATCATCATTGATTGATCACTGGAGCCACTAAGTACACTCGGCTCGGCAGTGGAGCCAAGATCGCGCCACTGATCGACGAGAGGCTGCTCCGGTGGTGGTAGCTGAATGTGGCACCAGCAACAGCTAAATGAGAATTTGATAGCACATGACTGACTGACTGGCTGACGGACTGGCTGTCTGACTGGCTGGTTGAATGGCTGAGTGACTAATTAGCGCGACGATCGCTGGAGCCGCGTTGGGGCATCCGCATCCGCCTGATTGATGGCACCGCGAAATTTAAGAAGGATGCCAGCCAGCTGTCAAGTCATTGCGAAAAGGATTAGCAGCAATGGGGCGATCAAATGGTGCCGCCACAAACGCAGCTTCCAGAGAGCCGTAGCCGTCTCCGTGGCCGTGGCTGCGGCTGTGGCTGTGGCTGTGGCCACATTATAATAAAGTTGACACTGCCGACTTGCCGGCACGATGATGGATCAGAGTGTATCGCGGCTGACTCGCCAAGCTGAGTCGCAGCCTCTGTGTACGCTGGCCTCTGCCAAAATCAACGCCGACCCAACTCCAGCATATTCCATCAGCTGTCACAAAATATGTCACTGTCAGCCGGAGATGAGATTTGCGCAAAGAGTTCTTTGGAGCTCATCTGCCTCTGCCTCTGCCTCTGCCTTTGCTTCTTCTTCTTCTTCTTGTTCGCTGGCTGCGCTGCACTTCTCTCCTTTTTTCGGGCGCGTTTTCGTTCAGATTGACAAGGGAACGCTGCTAATCCAATTTAATTTGAATGTCAGTTCGTCTGGAAGACAAGAGAGACAACAACAACTAACATAAGTACAACAACCAGCAGTCGGCATTTGGAGTTGTGTTCGTGGATCTTCGGTTGGAATTAAGAACTTCTGATTTGCCTCTTTCACTCTTTCGACTATTTTTCTGTCGGCGTTTCAAATTTGTCGGCAAACGCGATTCCGGCTTCAGTTCCTCCTCTCGCTCACTTACTCTCTCCCTCTCTCTCACACATAGCTGTTGGACTTAATTTGGTTCAGTGCATTTTTGCGTAATTTTGTTTTCGGCGAGCCTTGAATCCAAAACAAATCATTTGATATACCCAAACGAAAAAAAAAAACACTCGAGCAGTCAACAGAAGCTAAATGCAAAATCACCAAACTAAATTGTATGAAATTCGATATTATTTGACCCAAAAATATATCGCCGAAGCGATCGTTCCAACAGCCGCGGAGCCACAGAGCCAGCACAGTAGTTGGCTGGGATCCTCCAAGCAAGATTTGAGCTGCGCGATTTCAGTAGCCAATGCACAAAGTTTAACGGAATCAAATTCGAATTATGATTTACGCCCACAGATTAATTACCTTTGGAGAGAATTTTTAGAAAGGTTTCCTTATTTATTTTATAGATTTTTGTATTTCATTTCATATATTTGGAATTTAGCTATTCGATTTTAAATTAAATGGTTTCTGTATGGAAAGAAGAATATGTATAAACAGAGTCTGTTGGAGGGCTAAAATTCAATTCAATATATATATATTTCTTATACTATTTCTAGCAATATTAATTACATGTTTAACAAACTAAAAAAAAAAAAAAAACTATTTATTAACTTCCATGCAAAGCTTGATGATCATCACCGATCCTTAAATGGGCTTCCTTTCGGCTAATCACATTGTCACATGGCCGCTGGCCAAACTTCAGCAGCTTCGATGGCTGTGAAACGAACTCATTACGCGAAACGGAGAGCTCCAAAACTCTCAGGCACTCCTGAAAAGTGTCGCGATCGCTATCAGCGCTTCCACCAAACTTTGAGACTGATAAAATATTTAAAAGAAAGAAAAAAAGAAGAATCCAAAAACCTGGCTGCTGCTGCTTCTGCTGCTGACAGGCAGAGCCAGCTGCAGAGGAGTCTGTCTTGGGAGAGCAAAAAGGCGAATAAAGTTGGTTTTGCTGGCGACGCGTTTATTTAAAAATCGATTGCATCAAAACGAGCAAAACGAAGGCGAGACGGAGGCAGAGTTTCAGGCACCATAACAATGGGGCCGGCCAGCAGAAGCTGCTGCAGCGTGGCCAATGGAGCCGAGTGATAGACAGACACAAAACACAAGCCCAAATTCCAGAGCACAGGCTCCAATAAATTTCGTTAAATGCGCACGCGTGCGAGAAACAATCCCAGTGGATGACGCTGGAGCTGAGGCTGAGGCTGGAACGAGCCGAGGACCGAACGTAGCCAAGGCAGAACTGGAGAAGCTGCTGCCTGCTGCAAGCTACTAACTCAGTTAGCGGCAGACAATTGCGATGGACATCTCTCTCGCTGGGTCTCAATCGATGCCCCCGAGCGGCACCGGCCCCGCTCTGGCGACTCCTAACAAGCTGATGAGACATGAACGCGCGCGCTTACCAAATTCCAAGATGTCAACGCAAAATCACATTGTGCGCCATTATTTTCTCTATACACTGCAGGCATCTGGAGCAGGCCTCTGCGTTCTGACTGGAGACTGGAGGCTGGAGGATCTCGGCTCTGGTAGTAGCTGCAGCTAATGCTATGCAGTGTCGTCGTGTCTCATATGCCATAAACATAAATAAAGGCACCTACTCCGGCCTCCTTCAGACTGGCCCAAGAAATGCCTCGCCAAAAATGTCACATCGACAACAACAACAGCAACAATCAGAATGTAGCATCGTTCGATATTATGGCTGATGAACAATGATGGAACAATACGCTCAGAGTTGGAGCTGCCAGCGCTGAGGCATATGAATTGAAAGCAATTGATATATAGGTAAATCTGAGTGAGAGTCCTATAAGCTGAACTCAGTTGATTTGAAGATTTGAGAGTATTACAACAGTTATACACTGAAAGAAAAATATGAAATAAAACCATTTTATATTTAACTCCTTCCTCTAGAGAATTCATATTTAAGCAATTGATATTATGGTTGATCTAATCCAGTTTGCTGACAGTCTCTGACTCCGGCTCTGAGCTAACGGGCATATCCACGCAAAATGTCAGGATCTGATCGCCCGGCACCATGACATTGCCAAAGGCAATGGGCTCCTGATTGGGATGCACAAAAGTATCACATTTCGATATGATGAGGTTCTTGTCGTGGTCCGTGCAGCTGAAGATGCCCACCAGCACCAGCTTGTTCCTCAGTGTGATGCGCACCATGCGGCCGAGCCATTTCTTCAACTTTTCCCGGCCGGCCGACAGAACTCGATCGCCCGGCAGATGGGGAGCATTGGTGAAAATAATTGGCTTGAATTTCGATCTGTTTTCGGGTGCTGTGGACGAGTCCTCGACTTCCTTGGCAGACATGTTAAGTAGGTGAATTATTTGATATACTTTTAATCTTTTTCGATAACTTTCCTTTCGTTGACAAAACTAAATTTAGTTCAAGGCTAATTTGATGAGTGGACGAAACTGTAAATTTCATATTTGACATTGACAGTGATAATGAAAACAAAAACTGGCATTGATAATGATAATGACAATGCTCATATCAATTGGTATTGTTAATGGTAATTTCATGAAAATTGTAATAACTGCAATAGTTGATAATATTGATAATAATAATTATAATGATGATAGTGATAATTGTTAGAGTAATATTATTTATATCGACTCGATATCCATATGTAATTCCAGCCATTGGCCATTGGCTCGTTGGGATCTGCCTTTATGCTAATTCCTTGGCAAAGGCAACAGAGACTCTGGTCCGATCTGGCCTGCTCTCGGACTGAGCGCAGACGTGGATATCTGGGTCCGCCAATCTTCGCATTTGCCCAAAAGCTGCACACAATGCGAGGGGCGCAAAAAAAGTGTCGCCATCCTTTTGGGCTTGTAAAAGTCGCTCGATCGGCACATGCAACTGTTGCAGTTGCAACAACGACAACAACAACAACAACAACACGAATGCTTATACACGTTGTTGGCCTGTCCGTCCACTTCTGTCCGTCCTTTGATGACCACAACAAACTGAAAGCCGGCACAAGTTTGCAGTCGTCTGCGCAACAGTTCAAAGTTTTGAGGGCCCGCTGCCAATGCCAATCGGATCGCTGCGAATAAGGTAGCCAGAGCTGCAGCCACAGCCCCAGTCAGAGCCAGAGCCAGATCCACATTCACAGCCAAGTAGCCAAGTGAGTGGAACTTGGCCAGTTGCAATTGCTGCTGCCAGCGACGACGGCAACAGCAGCATCCCAGATCTGTGATCTCGAAAAAGTTGCCAGCTCGGCAGCAGCGGCTGCCACATCGAACAAAAGCATTCGGCACAGATCAAATTGGATTTACATTCGCGATAGCCCCGGCTGGCTGCAACGACTAACATATACGGCTTGTAACGCCTCTCTCTCTCTCTCTCTCTCTCTCTCTTTTAGCATGAGTGTTGCCTGTCTCAAGGAAAAGTTAGGCAAAATAAGCTGACATTATAGTTAAAAGTTATGGAATTTCATTCTTCATTCTACCTTTCACTCTTCAGTTGCTCTAAATTTCCATTATTCTTGTCTTTCAGCCGTTGATCAGCTCATATTTTAAAGGGTATTTCGGCGTCTGTTTCAATTCAATTTCACGTTTCAATTTCGCGCTGCTGCTGCCGTTGAATAAAAATGAAAACACAACAACAGCTCCCGACATTGGCGATCGATCGCATTTGATATATTTGCTCCTCGAGCTCTGTGGCTGTGGATGTGGCTCTGGTGGCGATGGCGATGGCGTCGTCTGAAGCTCAGGCCTCAGCATGCACTTTTTCGCCAGTTGCTTTGTTGTCCATCCGCCGTCGTTCGCTGCTGTTGTTGGTAGCTGCTGCAGTTGCAATTGCCGTTGCCGTTGCCGTTGCTGTTGCTGTTGCTGTTGCTGCAGTTGCTACACCTTCGCAGCCAGCCGCTGCTGCTGGCGATGCCAATCCTTGGGCTTTGGCTGTGGCTGGACGTAGTGTTTATGTCGTTTATGTGAAATATCAGCTGCTCATGTTGAGAATGTTTGCTGCCTTGTTGCGTCTGCCACATTTTGTTGCAGTTGTTGTTGCTGCTGCTGTTACTGTTGCTGTTGCTATTGCGATGTTGCTGCCGTGGTAGACGTTGTCGTTGGCGTTTGCTGCCTTGGCCTGCAGCACCAGCGATCGTTTTGTTTATGGCACTGGCAGCCATTGGTCAACCTGGCTGCTGCTTGAATTTCAAATCACATGCCGCATGTTTGTTACCCACACGCCAGTTGCCACTCGCCTGTTGCCACTCGTTGCGCGGCAATAAAGTAAATTATTGCAAAACGCTGGCGTTTATTTCCATGCATAGATTTGCACCACATTTCGGGCTTTTGCACTCAATAAAACTTTAAATAAATATCGAAGCAGCGCGCCTATCCGATCGCCCATCGAATTGATTGTGCTCCTTGTTAGGGTCAAGCGTTTGCATCGACTATGTGGGCAACGCATGTTGGAGCACCATCACACACACACACACACAGGCACACAAACACACACAGCATGATCTGCAGCAGAAGACGATTCGTATGATAGGAATAACAAAATAGTAATATGATAGGTAAGGGAATGACTGGAGGAAAACCTAAATATATTTTTGTTTTACAGGGTATAGATAAGTGTTTATTATGCATTTTTGTAATTAATATTATTTTCAATGTTACAGAAATAAGCAGCAGAGAGGAAATTTTTAGCTAACAGTGAGTTAACACAATTCATGTTTGCATACAAGGCATACTTGGAGAACGACTGCAAGCCGATCGCATTGAGGAACCCACGCAATCGGTTGCTCTCTGAGATTTTTCGCAGATTGGCAGTTTGCAGACTTGAGCAACGATCATTAGTTACTAATAATAATCACTTATTAATATAATAACTTATTATCAAGCTTTGCTCTTTCCAGAAGTACCAGGCGAACGGAAATGAGCAGCAGAGTGAAAAATCACACTTAACAGTGAATTAACATAACACTTTAAGCTCACTGTTAATTACCATAATAATAAAGGCTCAATGTAAAATAACAGTAGGTTAACATTACACTCTTATTGGTCTGTTAACTATAGTTTTTCACTCAACCAAATCCCGTATGTACAAATTATTTGGCTCTTGCTCCAAAGTCCTCATATATTTCAGCATGAATAGAATATTATTTACATACATATGTATATGTATGTATGCCCATTATTATTTTTGTATATTTGATGAATTCTTTTGCCGATTCTATTTTATAACAATTTCGTCTCGATTTATGAGTTGTTTTAATACGAACACAAATTGTGTCGTCGCATTTATTTTTGGCGATTATTTATGAGCGAGCGGTCCAGTCTGTCGGCTGTCCCACGGCGGCAATCGGATCCATTTAACGATGCCCAACGATGACGGCAATATCTGAGAGAGGCATGGCTGCTATCAGAGACATTTGTATGCCCATTGCTGAGTGCGAGCTGCAGTCGCTGTTGGTCTAGCTAATTGTCTTGGGCATTTCGTTTGCTAGGAACTAGCCTGGTCTAGCATGGCCTGCTATGGCCTGCCCTGGCCTGGTCTGGCCTACTCTGGCCTTTTGTTCTAATTTTGTAAAACGTCGCATAATGAAATGTTTTTCGCTCAATTTGAAAATGTTGCTCGCTATAAAACAAATATATGACAGGCACTGGCCATAAATATGCTTAGTTTCAGTATTCCATTTGCTCGGCCCAAAGAGCTGATTCAATGATGAAATTGTCGCCGGGCGACAAAACGTCGCGACCGACTGGCAGCCACAAAAAACAACAAAAAACAAAAAAATAAAGCCAAAATAAAATATAGATATAGAGATACGTATATAAATAGTGGGTGTTTTTATTTCTTCGATTGGCTTGATTGTGATTTACAGCAATTTTTATATTTATTCAAATTTCTTTATAGATATGTGTTTATATTAACACACTCACACTCACACACACGCTCTTGATATGCTGTCCCAAAGTGCTCAGCATTTTGGGGGCAGATGTGTTTATATTCGTTTTATTATGTAAAATGCCTTTCACGGCCCATCAGCCCAACTCATCAGCATTAAATTATGCAGCAATCAAACACCGAGCCGAGGCGACGCGACGAGCACCCAAATTCAAGCAGCTCTCTCTTATCTGCAGTGACTGCTGATAGATCTTGCTCAATCAGAGATCATCTCCTGCAGAGTTTGCTTCCCTCTCTCTCTCTCTCTCTCTCTCTCTCTCTCTCGTTTCTCGCGCTAATAAAGACATTTCGTATAATTTTATTTCTATTTATTCTTTTCTTGACTATTGCAAGCATCAGCAATTGCACTTCAGAGAAACAGCAGTGTTATGTGTTAACACTTGCACAGTGGTATGGAATTCAGAGTTAATGAATGAAATCGAAATTGAATTTAGGTCAATGAGAAAATCAAAGATTAATTTAATTATTTAAGATTTTTACAGTTGTAATTACCCTATTTTATTTTTATTTTAAGTTTAAATACTTATTTATTGTTTATTAAAATTATTTAATAATGTTTCCACACATGCAATTCAGATAATATATACTAAAAATATAATATAAAAATACTAAACAATACTAAATGCAGATAAAAGAATTACTGCTAAAATACAAACAATTAATTATTATATAACTTGTAATGTACATACATTTTATTTTCTATTTTAATATATGAATAATGAAATACAGTTAAACACATTTCTAATTAAAAATCAATTATTTTTATGCAATAATAATATTTTCATTCAACGTAAAAAATACTTTTTTTTTTCATTTTTTACAGACTGTATAAATTTACATATATATTTTTTAGCTCATTTTTCAATGGCACTCATTCCACTGTGATCTATCGCTCAACAAGCATTGAACTTGGATGGATGTGACGTCGCAGCGACTTTTAGCACAGTTCAACAAGGCAGCAGCTTGTTCTCATTTGTCTTGGCTGCTGCGAGCATTGTTTTGGGCCTCCACATAGAGAGAGGGCGAGAGGGAGGGGAAGAGCGAGAGTGGGGGATCGATGGGGCGTGGAGCAGTGGCATGTATTTGGGGCAGAGATACATGCAAATGCAGCCATCCGTCAGCTTTTAATATTTTCCATTTGTTTTTCACTTGTTATTTATTGGTTGGCTTTGCCTCAGTCCCTCTGCCACTGCCTCTGTCGCTGCCACTGCCTCTGGCTGTGGCTCAGGCAAAGTGTCAACTGGGCGACGGCGACAGTTCCTTCGGCTGCTGGATCTGGCTGACATCCACTTGTCATTGACTGCGGCAATTTGCATGTGTTGCAGTTGCGGCTGCGACTGGCAATGATGATGTTGCTGGCGATGATGATGATGTTGTTGATAATGATGTTGCTGATGGCTCCGCCTGCAACTT